AAGACTATTTATTTGTATCAAGTCATGGTTAGACCATTTATTTGTATCAAGTCATGGTAAGACCATTTGTTATCAAGTCATGGTAAGACCATGTGTTTGTATCGAGTCATGGTAAGACCATGTGTTTGTATCGAGTCATGGTAAGACCATGTGTTTGTATCGAGTCATGGTAAGACCATGTATTTGTATCGAGTCATGGTAAGACCATGTATTTGTATCGAGTCATGGTAAGACCATGTATTTGTATCGAGTCATGGTAATACCATGTATTTGTATCGAGTCATGGTAAGACCATTTTTGTATCGAGTCATGGTAAGACCATTTGTTGGTATCGAGTCATGGTAAGACCATTTGTTGGTATCGAGTCATGGTATGACCATTTGTTGGTATCGAGTCATGGTAAGACCATTTGTTTGTATCGAGTCATGGTAAGACCATTTGTTTGTATCAAGTCACGGTAAGACCATTTGTTTGTATCAAGTCATGGTAAGACCATTTGTTTGTATCAAGTCATGGTAAGACCATTTGTTTGTATCAAGTCATGGTAAGACCATTTGTTTTGTATCAAGTCATGGTGAGACCATTTTTGTATCAAGTCATGGTAAGACCAATTGTTTGTATCAAGTCATGGTAAGACCATTTGTTTGTATCAAGTCATGGTAAGACCAATTGTTTGTATCAAATTTGATTTTTTAACCCTTCCAGCCATGCAACCAAAAAAAAACGCACAACAAAAGTACAAAGTTTCCTTAAATATATAGATTTCGTTCAACAGGTTTTCTAATTTTATTTTAAAGGACACATTAAGTAAGTGAAAATATGTTGAAATACTAAAAAGTTTACAAAACAAATACTAAAAAAGGAGATGCATGCCCATAGCGCCTGTGTCCCGCATCACTAAGCATGAATATCATATATAGACGAACACAGTCCAATTGATATCGTTTTTTCTCAGTTTTTACATCACCTTGTTATGCCAGAGCCTTGACTAGGTATTATTGTGAGCTTACAGACAGAATAAACTGCAGAGCACGTGATGAGGCCAAAGCATGTGGATCAGACGGCAAAACATACTACAATATGTAGGTATCCAATATAGTTAAGATAAGTTTACTACAATATGTATGAATCCAATAGTTACGAGAAGTTTACTACAATATGTATGTATCCAATAGTTACGAGAAATTTACTACAATATTTATGTATCCAATAGTTACGAGAATTAAGTTAACTACAATATGCATGAATCCAATAGTTACGAGAAATTTACTACAATATGTATGTATCCAATAGTTACGAGAAATTTACTACAATATGTATGTATCCAATAGTTACGAGAAATTTACTACAATATGTATGTATCCAATAGTTACGAGAAGTTAACTACAATATGTATGTATCTAATAGTTACGAGAAGTTTACTACAATATGTATGTATCCAATAGTTACGAGAAGTTTACTTAAATATGTATGTATCCAATAGTTACGAGAAATTTACTACAATATGTATGTATCCAATAGTTACGAGAAGTTAACTACAATATGTATGTATCTAATAGTTACGAGAAGTTTACTACAATATGTATGTATCCAATAGTTACGAGAAGTTTACTACAATATGTATGTATCCAATAGTTACGAGAAATTTACTACAATATGTATGTATCCAATAGTTACGAGAAATTTACTACAATATGTATGTATCCAATAGTTACGAGAAGTTAACTACAATATGTATGTAATTATCCAATTGTTACGAGAAGTTTACTTAAATATGTATGTATCCAATAGTTACGAGAAGTTTACTTAAATATGTATGTATCCAATAGTTACGAGAAGTTTACTACAATATGTGTGTATTCAATACTTTTTTTTTTATATAAGATAAGATAAGATATTTTTATTCCAATTCAAGGGCCGAGAGCAAAATAATTTATTACAATGATTTTAATAATTGACGTCAATGTTAAAGGAAACGCATATATAAATATGAATATAATCAACTAAATATAGTAACAAGAAGTAAACTACAATATGTAGGTATCCAATATATATAGCAATGAGATGTTAACTACAATACATATGTTTCAGATTGAAGATTTATAAAGTACAATTTCGCTACGTTATTTAACATTCATGTTTTACTTGTAGTTACAATTTATTATTTTTATTACATATAATAACTTTACAATTTTCTATTAACAAAAAAGGGAGAAGAAACCAAAAAGACAAATTGAATGAAACTATTCATCACCATGGCAAAAAAAACCAACCGTCCGCAAAACACTACACAATAACTTTGGGTGTCTACGGTCATGTGGTTTACAGCAAATATCAAAGCTTATAAACTTCGTGTCTTTACTTTGAAAACATTTTCATCTGATTTACTTTCAGGTGTGCCTTAAATATAGCAAGTTGTGCTAATCCAAGACTGCATGCTGTTCACTCTGGTCCATGTACAAGAAGTTCAACCATCACTGACCTACCATCATCATTAGTTCCCACACAAGATGGATTACAAGTGGCTTATGATATATTCTGTCTGGATTTATTTCACCATAACTGTCTTTCGGAAAGGTCATTCCAGTTAATATGTGCATCAAATAGGGCAACATACATAAACTTGTACGTCATAATTATATTAATATTTACATTTGCAAAGTTGTAAGATGAAAAACATTCTTTTAACATAAACAACAGTTCTCATTCGATTGTAAAAAAAAGGACAATCTTTCAAATCGTGAAATGAATTATCATTAATTGGTATATAATCACATTCCAACTTTTGAAAGTTAAAGTGTTTTAAGTATGAATAAAAGGTTTTATTAAAGTAACATTGATAATAGATACAAGGAGATGTGGTATGATTGCCAATGAGACAACTATCCACCAAAGTTCAAATGAAGTGGATGTAAGCAATTATAGGCAACCGTACAGTCTTCGATAATATTTGGATACATCCACGGTGGCATATCCAGATTTTGCCGTTCGGGGCATGTAAAAAGATGCGGGATCTAGATAGCATTAAATTTTATCGCTGTACTTTCAGTAACAAACAGGTTAGGGGCGGGTTGAGCGCTCAAAAACATGTTTAACCCCGCCACATTCTTTATGTGCCTGTCCCAAGTCAGGAGCTTGGAGTTAAGTGGTATTTGTTGGTTCATGTCTGTCATATTTGTTTTTCGTAAATTGTTTCGTTATGAATTATTCCGTTAGTTTTCTCAATTGAATTGTTTCATATTTTATCATATCGGGGCCTTTTATAGCCGACTATGCGGTATTGGTTTTTCTCATTGTTGAAGGCCGTACGCTTGCCTATAATTGCTTACATCCACTTAATTTGAACTTTGGTGGATAGTTGTCTCATTGGCAATCATACCACATCTCCTTATATCTATTATCAATGTTACTTTAATAAAACTTTTTATTCATATTTCTAGCATATTCTTTATTGTTATTTTCAGGTGTGAATTTGATAAAGACAGATGCACCCACAGAAACTTGCATTTTGTTAAATACGGAGCATGCTAAGCAAATGCTCGTGCATTAAAATCAAATCTGTATTCAAATTCGTCTTAATTAATTAACACATACGCATTATTTAAATCATTTGAAAGGATAATCAAAAGCGGCTTAGGTATTTGGAGTTAGACGGCGAAAGGAGTTGATACAATAAAGAGGGTGCTTGAAAATTTATGTATTGTACTGTATAGTATACATGTAGGGCACTGAAACTAAACAATACCATTTTGGTTCATATTTAGCCATTGGCAATAATAACTGAACAATTCGTTTGTAAGTTGATACGGTGCGTGGTTTTTTCTTTCTTTCTAATTATTAATTAATTTATATACATCGAATTAAATTGGGATATGGGATATACTGCTATGAAACAGCAACCCAATAGTTATATGATAAAATAGTAAAACACATTTATATATGCATGTTAATTTCATATTAATCTCCTTATTTTTTTATACATTTATTTCAAAGACATTAAATTAATTTCATGTGGAACAAAACAAAATTTATTTCATGTGGAACAAAAATCTTCTTTCTTTGGTGAAAGAATAAAAATAACAAATGTACAGAAACTACACGGTATCATTTTTTAAAGTCTATTATACTGACAAAAACAAGATAGAAGCAACATATCAGTGGGACTCTGGTATATCGAGAAAACTACAAGGAGTATAAAACTGCAACGAGAGTCGACACCAACCCGGTGGATAAAAAAAAAACAACCATAAAAGATTGATTGGTGTCTAACGCCGCCTTTAGCACTATATTGTGCTATTTAGTGACGTAGTCCTATAATATGAGACTTCGGAGTTTCATATCATGCGGGATTCTAACTCACAAAATTAGTGTTGACAGGCTAGCGATACAATGGTTCGACTACTAATTAGACCACTCCACCACCGAGGCCCCTCAACCCACCGTAAAAGACATCAAGTACATGTTTAGATATTGCTTTATAATAGGTTTACTCAGAGACATATATACATATTTATGTCTCTGGTTTACTTCAGAACTCTCAATCAGAGTTGTATATATATGGTTCCATTCTTTTTATATTCATCGATCTCAATCCTCCAGTATAAGCGGGGCCTCGGTGGCCGAGTCAGTGGTCTAAGTAGTAACTACTGTAATCACTAGCCAGTCAACACTGAGGTTGTGAGTTCGAACCCCGCTCGTCCGGGTGCACTCGACTCCAATCTTAATTGACCAGGATTGTCAGTTTTCCTATCGAAGGTCGGTGGTTTTCTCCGGGCACTCCAGCTTCCTCCACCAATAAAAACTGGCCGCCACGAAATAGACCAAAAGCGGTGCTTAAAAGTAGCGTTATAACACCAAAAATCAAATCAAAATCAAATCCAGTATTAGCATGGACTACATTAGTCCGATCGGTTGGTTCCATTCCAATATTCCACTCTATTTTTCACTCCTTTGCAATTACATTCTCCCGCGCTTTTATGAACACCAACTCGGAACTCTTTTGGATTCATCTTATACTTCATGAAAGGTGTAGAGGAAGAAGAAAACAACGCTAAAATGCCAGCTAAGAAAAGAAAGCCACAAGAGACTGCTGATAGCAAAGAAACTGCAAAAAAGAGTCCGTCGAAAAAATCGAAGAAAGCCACCGAAACACACGATTTCAAACTCGTTGTTGAATATTGGTATGATGTATAGTCATTCTCAAATCAGCTAATCCTCAATTTTTACATTTTAACACAGTGACAGTGCTTTGAAAAGGTACTGCATGGCTACGGTTACCCGATAAAAGTAGCAATAAGAAATGGTTATTGTTACTTGAACGTGGACAATGGTGGATAAATATACTCTTAGATAGTGCCCCTTGGGAACCGACAAGTACATGTAGTGCATTTGCTTGCTTAATAATGAAATGATGCCCTAGGGGAAATTATCCCTTTAACATATCTGTTTATTAATGATGCCCAAGGGTCCAAATATTAAAACAAGAGTTCCAAGTGGTGAAATGAAATCATCCTTTTGAAAATTTTACTGACGCCATGATGGCATCATGAGTTGTTTAACCGTTATGGAATATCTGTTGCACGTATGACGACGGATATGTTCCAATAGTCGTTACTACAATCCTGTCCTCTTTTCCTGAATTGTGACCTACAGAATGAGACTTATCACCAAGTTTGTACTTTCATGAGCAACATGACGGGTGCCACATGTAGAGCCAGATCTGCTTACCCTTCCAAAGAACCTTAGATCACCCCTAGTTTTGTTTAAAAGGGGTTTGTGTTGCTCTTGCTTTAGTTTTAAGTGTTGTTCTTATTGCTTTTAAATTGTCTATGTCTGAGTTGTTTATACCGATAGAAGTCTTGCCCAATCATTTTGGGGCATGCGTTTTGGTGGGGTTCGTCTTGCTCAGTCTTTAGTTTTTTATTATGTCTTTTGTATACCATGTATACTGTTGTTTGTCTTTTGATTTTTTTTTCATGTCTTGCAATGGCTTTGTTGGTTTGTTTTCGACTTATGAGTTTGAATGTCCCTTTGGTATCTTTCGTCTCTTTTTTTGTCTGTATATAATGATGTACAGGGGATTGTCTATAAAGAAGGATATCCCAAAAGAGAAATGACAATTTACATAATGTCTGTATAAAATGATACCAAATTGGAATCACTCAACATCTTGTTGTCTGTACATACATCTGCCAAAGAGTAATCGTTCTCAATATACCATGATATACTATCTGTATAAATATTGATGCCAAAGGGATGTCTTTATATAATGATGCACAGGGAAATATCTTGCATACTTTTTATGGTATTGATGCCCATAGGAATCTTCCTCAACATAATATCTGTATATAATGATGCCCAGGAAAAATATCTTTACATAATCTTTATATTACTGATAACCGTGATAACAAGGGTAATCTCTTTTCAATAATTCCTGTATATAATTATGCCCAAGGGATATGTCTACTTACACTGTCAACGTATATTTGTTCCGCCTAACAGAAGTTCCACTGGAAACTTTGTTATAAACAATGTCATAATATCTATTCCTGTTGGAACAAATATTCTATACCATTTATTCCGTTAGGAACATATACTGTAATATTTATTCCTTTGGAAATAATATTCCAGAACATTTTTTCCTTTTGGAACTTATATTATAAAGGAACTTCTATTCCGTGACAACATTATGTGTGTGTGCATATAATGATGCATAAGTGACAGTATTTTCATGATGCTTTAGATAAATTTCACATTACATAATGCCTCATACCTGTCAACCTATGAAAATGCAGGTCATGACCTGCATTGAAGAAGAAAATCTCAGGTCATAACGCGTACAAACTTTTTTTCAGCTGAATTTAAGTATTTAGGGGACATTTTTTTATATTTTAAATCTAACGGTTTCCAAAACATGTTCACATCGTGACATTGTTAAGAATTAACTGAAAATAATTTTAAACTTTAATTTAATTTTTTCATTGGATTTATAAGCAATTAAAATATTAATGTATTACACTATATCAATTCAAGCCAAGTCATACCCCCTCTTCTTGTTTTATTCATTGTTTAATTCAAGTACTTGTGAGACTAATTACCGAAATGTATTTCCGGAGAGGGGGAGACTAAACTCACAAGTACTTTGATGTTAACTTATATAAAGAAACTTTCAGATCGAAGAAGTAACCATAAACTAATACTGTTTCATAAAATTGTTAATAATAAAACCCCAAAATATTTGCAAGAAATTTGTGTATGAGGGGGTGATAGGGGTGCTCATTTACGAAATCCCCCTTTTTTTGTAAGTTTTCCCTTCTTCAACAACCAACACTAGTCTTGACTACCTTGAAACAAATATTAATCTAGTTCTTAGATGGACATTCTTGGAGAGTTTGCCAATTCATGCATGTGTCATGGTGTCTATCTCAGACACACTAGTAATGCTGGTGTTGCTATCATACATTTTTTCATAGTAGATGGTTAATTTCCTAAACATGCTAAAGTTATAAACAGAAATTCCCATTGCAAACAATTCTTTGATTCCACTGTATATACTTTATTTTTTAATAATTAAAATTGACAACAACACTTCAAAAGATCTGCAATTTTATTATCTATGTCTACATGTTTCGCCTGCAAGGCAGGCTTCATCAGGACAATTTTTATACAGAATTTAATCCCTGAAGTACTCAAAGTGGTGCATGAAATTTGACGTCGTCATGGTGAGAGAAACAATGAAAAGTGGAAGTAGCAATACAGAGTTATAAATAGATAAGATAAATATAGAAAATTAAAGTTTGTTTACAATGTAACTTGAGTTTGTTTTACTATTATATGATACATGAAATTGTTCTAATGGCTTGGTATCTAATTGGACGAACTTCCCATGGTTCCTACCACTTCGCAAGGCTTCTCTTCCAACCTGGCCATTGTTGGAGGTTACTACTTCCTGGCGCGTCGGCAACACATAGGAAGATTATGGTCGCCGCTATGTAAAATAAAATTGTCAAAAAATGTTCCCTTGTTAATTATTTGGTGACTCTCTATAATTTTTGGATCGTCTGCAGTAGTTGTTCTGTTTAATAGCATGGTTGTGAATTCCTAGTTCATTTAAGATCGGCGCCCGTGGTACGTTTTTTCTGCTAACAGTTATATATATATGTTAAGGTGGTATCGGATTTCTTGGTCATCTTGGTTCAGTTGTTATTTCGTCGCAAGTATGGAATATTCCTTGGTCCATGTATATGCTGGTGGCCTGTAGATTGGCGCGTGTAGCAAGGCGGTTCCTTCGGATGCAGGGGTTCACGAAGCATACCCCTGCATCCGAAGGAACCGCCTTGCTACACGCGCCAATCTACAGGCCACCAGCATATACATGGACCAAGGAATATTCCATACTTGCGACGAAATAACAACTGAACCAAGATGACCAAGAAATCCGATACCACCTTAACATATATATATAACTGTTAGCAGAAAAAACGTACCACGGGCGCCGATCTTAAATGAACTAGGAATTCACAACCATGCTATTAAACAGAACAACTACTGCAGACGATCCAAAAATTATAGAGAGTCACCAAATAATTAACAAGGGAACATTTTTTGACAATTTTATTTTACATAGCGGCGACCATAATCTTCCTATGTGTTGCCGACGCGCCAGGAAGTAGTAACCTCCAACAATGGCCAGGTTGGAAGAGAAGCCTTGCGAAGTGGTAGGAACCATGGGAAGTTCGTCCAATTAGATACCAAGCCATTAGAACAATTTCATGTATCATATAATAGTAAAACAAACTCAAGTTACATTGTAAACAAACTTTAATTTTCTATATTTATCTTATCTATTTATAACTCTGTATTGCTACTTTCACTTTTCATTGTTTCTCTCACCATGACGACGTCAAATTTCATGCACCACTTTGAGTACTTCAGGGATTAAATTCTGTATAAAAATTGTCCTGATGAAGCCTGCCTTGCAGGCGAAACATGTAGACATAGATAATAAAATTGCAGATCTTTTGAAGTGTTGTTGTCAATTTTAATTATTATTTAAGGATTGCATTCATTTGCATGATTTGACAACCCGGCATACCAAGGTATCCACTTCAGGGACTCTACCAAAACGATTTCACAGGCGTTGGTTCACCACACGGAATTTACTTTATTTTTTAGTTAAATCTAATACAATACATGAAGGAAAACTTCATTAAACTAAATACCTGGTGTAGCATTTATTGTAGAAGTATATTTCTTTGTTTTATGAGATGGGGTGTAAATGGGTGTGAACTTTGGTATTACAGAGAATTTGTTTTGTTAGCAGGTCAGATAAATGCATCATCATCGTGATTATTTACATAACTCCAACTAACTTGAAGCAATGTCATGATCATCTATCAAAAAAAAGAGGAGATTTATAACTGTGGAATTCATTTAATTTCGTGTGTACATTGTACAAATTTTTTGGAATTAAGGGAAAATTGTATTTTCGTGGATATTTGATTTCAAGGTTTTTATTAAGTCTGCATACAACTTGCAACTTGCCATACAAGCCTTAAATTTCCACATCATTAAACATATAAATTAATGGTTCAACCGTACTCAGGAAATATACAAAAATTAGTATTCCATGAATAATAATTAATCCACAGTAGTATGAATATCCTATTCACTGAATTTTGTGACAATTTTTAACAAATTTAATATAGTCTATTTGCCAATTACCGATTATTACACACTTTTAACACAAGTTTTTTCCCACTGCTAATTGTAAACTGTTTCTTAACACATTTTTCTCAGGAACTATAAATCAGGGCTTGTATTGAAAGGTTCATGTGAGCATGCTATACAGTATGATGTGTTACTCATGTGAGCATGCTATACAGTATGATGTGTTACTCGTGTGAGCATGCTATACAGTATGATGTGTTACTCATGTGAGCATGCTATACAGTATGATGTGTTTTCACATTCACTTCTGATCAACTTCCTGTTTAATGATAACTTACAGCGGAGGTATTAATTTGTGAACTTTAGCTCACAGTTCCATTTGTTGAAACAGTGATTGAAGGTATTGAATTCAGATGAACAATTGAATCTCATAGTTATAGTTGCATAATCCTTTAAAAAAGTTTGCAATGCTTATTTGATTTTTTGGGTTTTTTTTTTTCAGCAAATCCTGACAAGTATTCAAGCGCAGGGCTGAAACAGTAGTAGCAGACTTGCGCCAGATCTTTGGTGAGGTGGAAGTTGAGTTCAATCCTTCCAAACCTCGCCGTGGAAGTTTTGAATTTACCCTTGTTAAGGGTGGAAAGGGTAGGTTAATCAGGAGAATCACTGAGTGACGTCCTTTTTACATACCGTGTACTTGTAGACCTATGTTCCTATCTCCAAAATTTGTATAAATTTGTATGAATTATTATAATATCTAAATTCAGAAATTATGATGCTTTTTTCAGTAATTAGAAATGAAGATACATTATGTAGATTGATAAGTAATTGCTTTTGTTTCAAAGTTTAAATATGTATGTTTCTTAACAAAAATTGCAAATTGTTAATTTTCTTATATAATCTCCACTCTATGAATGGGAGCTTTATTGTAATCATCTTGTCTCTTGTTCTGCTCATTCATTTGTCCAACAAATATTTTTGTCACACATATCTCCAAAATTTATGAACAGAATGACTTCATATTTGGTCAGCAGCTTGACAGCGATGAGTTATAAGGTGTTAGTTTTTTCAGATCTGTCATACACCTACTTTCTGTTTTTCTGTTTAAATACTTTGAATTGTTTAACATTTTTAAAGTACTAAATGTTTTCATCATACATTTCTCCAGTGCTACTGAACAGAATTACTTTATATTTGGTCTGCAGCTTCAACAGTGATGACAGAAAAATCAAACATTCGGTGCAATATAAACCATTTTACTGCATATGAATCAGACCTTCACTGTCACTATATTAATGTTATATCCATGTGAAAAACACTTTAACCAAAAGTAACCAATGTTTAACAGTATTCCATGTAACAGCAATATTGCTTCAAAATGACAATGTTATCATAAAATTGAAATGATGTTGTGTTTTGTCATTTTGCAATAAAATAATGTTATTGCACAGATATTGGTGTCAGAATTTTATTCTCTGAATGATATTTTAAATTTGCACATGTAAACAATATTTGGGATAATATAAACTATTATGTATTACAACAGTAATATCCTCAATGCATTGTTTTATTTGTGTTTTTTTTTCTCAGAAACTTTGATATGGACAGGAGTAAAGAAAGGGCCACCAAGAAAGATGAAATTCCCGGAAACACCAGATCTAATTATTGAGGAAGTCAAAAAGAACCTATAAATTGTGTAAATTGTATATAAATAGAAGAACATGATCCTTGCAAGAACTCAACACATAACGGAGAGTATGGATGGGGTCCTTTATTTCTGTTTTCTTTAAATTTTAGGGCATTTTTCTTTATCTTCCAAAATAATGCTTACTCTGTAAAATTCTCAGGAAAATGATTTTACCATTAAAATGTTCTATAGTTAGATGATTTCTTTATTCAGTTAATCATTATCAGTATTATAATACCTAATTCCTTTATTTTCGAGTCATTCTCTATACTATTGATCCTCATTATTCTCTATTCTTTATATTTTTTTTGCCATTATTCTCTATTCTGTAAACCCCATCCAGACCCTCATAATGTACATTCATCATGAACATAATGTAGAATATTACATCCTTGTTGTTTCAACTTGATTGATGTTTTTTGTTTTTGAAGTTTTAATGAAGGGAATAAGTACAAAGGGAGATTACTCTCTACTTATTTCTGGAACAGATGTATAACTTCTAGCAAGAACATAGATTGATTTGTTATAAACTTAACAATTGCAGATATTTTAGGTAGATTGTAGCAAAGGTAACAATTTAGTTCGATGCTATTTTGATGGGTATATACCAATTTTTTGTTATGAAGTATAAAAAATGAATATTGATTTATATTCCAGTTTATTTATATTGATAGAGAATTATTTCTTCTGATACCAAATTTTCAGGTTTTTCTTTAAACATTCAATTTTAATACCTTATTCAACCATTTATCAGTCGCGTCAGTGTTTCAATTCTCAAACAATGAAATTTAAATCAACACTTCCAAGAAATGTTGGTATCCAAAACAAAATTACTTTTACAGTATTTTAAGTTGCTTTACAAATAAGTTAGGTTAAGTTTCAGACATATAGACAAGTAATTACCTTGTAACCATTTGATGCTACCAATTCCCAAGAGTATCTTTCATCTAAGCTTCAATTTCAGTATAAAAAAATAAGATGAGGTTTGATTGTGAATGAGACAACTATTCACCAGAGGACAAATGATGTAGATGTAAGCAACTATAGATCACCGTAAGGCCTTCAACAATGACCACCTATACTGTATAGTGTGATATTAAAGGCCCAAAAATGACAAGCCTAGTTTAGCCACCATATGATAATATGGTTTATTCATGAAGGAATGAATGCTTTTTGGGGTTTAACACCACTGTTGGCTATTTTAAGGCGGTCAGTTTTTATTGGAGGAAGCAGGAGTGCCCTGAGAGAAAACTATGAATAGGCAGGAAATCTGGTAATCCTTGATAATTAAGATTGCAATCAAACACACATGCCACATACAAACTTTTTGAACAAAAATGCTTTTGTCTACTGAAAAGTCATCTGCCGTCAATGTCAAGGAAACAATTCTTTGTATCACTATGTATGTCTCTAAATTGAAGTCAATGCAACAGTTAATGTTTGATTGCCTTTTAGGACAGAATGTGCTTGCTTTTGTAATAATGGAGTATTGACCAAAAAAATAATTTCAAACATGATTAAATCACTGATATAACATGTTAAGGTATTCAATTCAATTCATTCCACTTTGAGGTAGTATTGGAGATTGCAAAGTGGAAGAATTTTCTCTGTTCAAAATGTAGCTTTTATACCGGTAATGCTTTTCCCAAAAATTCTATTGAAACTGAAAACATTTGTTCCAAAGCTACAAATTGTCAAATATTACATATTCTGACTTCTATAAGGATTATATTGGGACAGTGGTGTAACAGCACAAAATAAGAAGAACAAACTTGTTTTACTTCGTTATTGCTTTTTAGCTCACCTGGCCTAAAGGGCCAAGTGAGCTTTTCTCATCACTTGGCGTCCGTCGTCATCTGTTAGCTTTTACGTAAATCTTCTCCTCTGAAACTACTCTTCCAAATTTAACCAAACTTGGCCACAATCATCATTGGGGTATCTTGTTTAAAAAATGTGTCTGATGACCCCGCCTGCCAAGCAAGATGGCCGACATGGCTAAAAATAGAACATGTAGGTAAAATGCAAAAATGTTCAGAATGTTGAGCTCTACCAATTGTCCATATATGTCGAAACTGTCAGACAACCTATAGGAGTTATTGCCCCTAAATGACAAATTTTACCATTTTTTAAAATTTTTGCCTACTGTCTTGAAAACTATAATAGATAAAGAGAAACTTTAAATTGCACAAATGATCAGCTAAATCACAAAAAGGATCAGCAAGTAAAGATCTACTAACAAGTCAAATTTTGCCGATATAGATAGTAGACTGTCACTCATTGCCCTTAAATGAGAATATTTTTTACCCTCTTTTGTGTTTTGAGCAAAAACTAAAAAAAGATAGAGAGAAACTAAACAGACTAAATGATCAGCAAAAGAAGATCAACAAAACAGAGATTTTTGTCATGAATTCTATTCTCGTCTACAATGTTGGAGAGTGTCCTTTGTTGTATATGCACATAGACCAAGGTGCGTGACACAGGCTCTTTAGAGCCTCTAGTTTGTCATTAAGATATGTTCAGAATAAGTTGGTTTTGCATATTTCAAAACATATGTTTAGTCGCCATGCAAGTTATTAAATGAATCAGTATCATAGTCACAAAATGTCAGTACCACACAAATAACCTTATCTAGCTTCAGTTGGTTCATGAGAGGATTTTTATTCATTTCCCATAGGTTCCAACTTTCAATTACAAAATTTAAGTCCAGCAGCAGCCACATGAGTTAGGAAAAAAACATGAAACTACCTCACGTTTTTGGTGTGAACTTGTTAAATATTCTCAAGAAGTTTTTTGAAAATATTTTATACCGACTCCAATGTTACCCACAGTCCCTAAGAAAAATGAATATCACATTTGGTTTTTGTCTCGCCTGCGACTAAGTCTCAGTATGCGAGACATAGGGATTACTATCTGGCAGTGGCGGCGTAACTATTTATTTAAAGCATTATATTTTAGAAGGTAGAAGATGTTGATGCTCTTTACCTTGTATGCAGATGCCTTTTGTTATGAAGTTTCCTAGTCATATGTCCATTGTCCTTGACCTCATATTCATGCATCAGTGATTGCTTGAAAAAAATTTTATTTTTTATGTCATGTGAATTTCTCACTTATGAGTAATAGGATAACTATATTTGGTATATGGGTTCCTTGCAACGTCTACATGTCTGTCAGACAGAGTTCACTTGACCTTGACCTCATTTCATGGATCAGTGATCAAGGTTAAAGTTATGTGACGGGATTACTTCCCTTCATTAGTAGATACTTAGTCAGCCGTAAGCGGTTGATCTAAGGAAGTACTTCTTAGCTTAGTCGGTATAGACGCTGCCTGGTAACACAGAGGTCCTGGGTTCGAGTCCTGGAGGAGACAAATATGATTTTGTATGTAGAATCATGCTTTCCAGTTACAGTTACATGATTAGGTCTGTTTCTCAGATACTTTAAGCAGTAGGTCAACTATATGTGGTGTATGGAATGATTGTAAGGGGTACATGTCAGTCTGGCAGGTTTCATCTGACCTTGACCTCTTTTAATGGTTCATTGGTCAATGTTTAGTTTTTGTGTTTTGGTCTGTTTTTCAAATACTATAAGCAGTTAGTCAACTATATTTTGTGTATGGAATAATTATTAGGTGTACATGTCTGTCTTACAGGATTTATTTGACCTTGACCTCACAGTTATGGATATCTAAAAATGTTAAGTTTATGTGATACTTGTATTTTAACCTTTGTCTTTCAAGACTTTCAACATAAAATCAATGGTCAGTATAGCAGGTGAGACATTTCAGCGTGTGCACTCTTGTATTGCAAAGGAAGCAAAAGTTTTCAAGAGAATCAGTTAGTGTTGGTTGGGTCAAGGATTTGTATAGTGTCCTTTGTTGGGTATTTACATTCTTTCTACTAAACAACTATTACAGAAATAAATTAGCTGATATGGAACAAGAAATGAATGTAACAGGATGCTGTTACGAAGTCTCCCAAACGAAGCTCCCATAATTCGTAATTCCCAGGGTCGCCTGACATTGGGCAACATCCATTGAAAATTGGTTTGGTCCAGTAAAGTTATATGCATTAGTGATGCCTGGGGACTAACCTTGTATATCATTCAAATCATCTTGGCATGACAAACAAGAATATATATGGTTTAGGGGTGGGGATCTCAACCATTTACAAGATACTAGAATATTGGGGGTGGGGAGGAACCCCTGGGGACTGGCCCTATACGTCATTCAAATGTTCATTACATGACGAACAGGAATATATATGGTTTAGGGGTGGCGATCTCAACCATTTACAAGATATTAGAACATTGGGGGTGGGGGGAACCCCTGGGGACTGACCGTATACATCATTCAAATGTTCGAGACATGACAAATAGGAATATATATGGTTTAGGGGTGGGGATCTCGACCATTTACAAGATATTAGAACTTTCTCAAATGACAGGGGGTCGGGATGACCCCTGGGGACTAACCCTGTCTATCATTCAAACCATCTTCGCATGACAAACCAGAATATATATGGTTTAGGGGTGGGGATCTTGACCACTTAGAAGATATTAGAACTTTCTTAAATGGCAGGGGGTGGGGGTGACCCCTGGAGACTAACCCTGTATTTCATTTGATGTGCTTTATCATGACAAACCAGAATATATATGGTTTAGGGGTGGGGATCTCGACCATTTACAAGATATTAGAACTTTCTCAAATAGCAAGGGGTGGGGGTGACCGCTGGGGACTAACCCTGTATAACATTTGATGTGCTTTATCATGACAAACCAGAATATATATGGTTTAGGGGTGGGGATCTCGACCATTTACAAGATATTAGAACTTTCTCAAATGGCAGGGGGTCGGGATGACCCCTGGGGACTTACCCTGTATATCATTCAAACCATCTCAGCATGACAAACCAGAATATATATGGTTTAGGGGTGGGGATCTTGACCACTTAGAAGATATTAGAACTTTCTTAAATGGCAGGGGGTGGGGGTGACCCCTGGGGACTTACCCTGTATAACATTTGATGTGCTTTATCATGACAAACCAGAATATATATGGTTTAGGGGTGGGGATCTCGACCATTTACAAGATATTAGAACTTTCTTAAATGGCAAGGGGTGGGGGTGACCCCTGGAGACTACCCCTGTATTTCATTTGATGTACTTTATCATGACAAACCAGAATATATATGGTTTAGGGGTGGGGATCTCAACCATTTACAAGATATTAGAACTTTCTTAAATGGCAGGGGGTGGGGGTGACCCCTGGGGACTTACCCTGTATAACATTTGATGTGCTTTATCATGACAAACCAGAATATATATGGTTTAGGGGTGGGGATCTCGACCATTTACAAGATATTAGAACTTTCTAAAATGGCAGGGGGTCGGGATGACCCCTGGGGACTAACCCTGTATATCATTCAAACCATCTTAGCATGACAAACCAGAATATATATGGTTTAGGGGTGGGGATCTTGACAACTTAGAAGATATTAGAACTTTCTTAAATGGCAGGGGGTGGGGGTGACCCCTGGGGACTAACCCTGTATTACATTTGATGTGCTTTATCATGACAAACCAGAATATATATGGTTTAGGGGTGGGGATCTCGACCATTTACAAGATATTAGAACTTTCTCAAATGACAGGGGGTGGGGATGACCCCTGGGGACTAACCCTGTATATCATTCAAACCATCTTAGCATGACAAACCAGAATATATATGGTTTAGGGGTGGGGATCTTGACCACTTACAAGGTATTAGAACTTTCTCAAATGGCAGGGGGTGGGGGTGACCCCTGGGGACTAACCCTGTATTTCATTTAATGGGCTTTATCATTTAGAACATTTTCAATTAAAAAGTTTGTGTCTATCACGAACGGTTTTCAATTTATAATCATTTTAAAATTTTAAAAAATAAAATCCCATAGGGTTCTATAGTAAAACCCTCTTTTCTTTTTGCCCCTCAAAGTACCCCTTTATAAACCCCACTGCAAAAACAAAACCCTGATTGCACCACTAGACATGTTAGTCTAACATATTGTGAAACCCTAAGTTAATCCGACAAGCGGTTTTGGAGAACGGGTGCGGACAAGTTCAAATTTAAAAGCGGCGGAAGAAGAAGAAGAAGAAGAAGAAGAAGAAGAAGAAGAAGAAGAAGAAGAAGAAGAAGAAGAAGAAGAAGAAGAAGAAGAAGAAGAAGAAGAAGAAGAAGAAGAAGAAGAAGAAGAAGAAGAAGAAGAAGAAGAAGAAGAAGAAGAAGAAGAAGAAGAAGAAGAAGAAGAAGAAGAAGAACTGAGCAAAAACAATAAGAAGAAGAAGAAGAAGAAGAAGAAGAAGAAGAAGAAGAAGAAGAAGAACTGAGCAAAAACAATAAGTCTTCCCAAACTTCGTTTGGGAGACTTAATAAATACAACATCACATGCAGTTTTGTGTGTCAATATTCTATTGGTACATGTATTTTCATCACTAGGAGTCTAATTTTTTTTTGTATTGCAAAATAAATCAATGAATGATTTGTTTTTCAAGGAGAAAATTTTAAAGTTCCCATTAAATGAACTCCACAGACCCCAATAGGTATTGTATTTATTCAATGGGACAGTTCACATTCTAAGAATAGAAATACCCTGACCAACACCCAACTGATTCTCCTGAAAGGTTTTATTTGCTTTGTTATCAATTCTAAGAGGATTTTCTTAACATGTACATTCCAGATCCAAAGAAGGCTAATGGATATGCATGTTGGTATGTACATTAAGCAGAAAAGTTCAAGCACTCTTTTAAGTGTCACATTAGCAATATTTCTGTCATATAAGTTTCCAACTTACATTTTCCCCATTGGCCAATATGTAAATGTTCTGATGTTGACTGAAGTCTAGTGAAGAACAAAAAACCTCAAAGAATACCAAAGATAATGGTGTTGTATACTTAAAGATTAAACTTTAATTTTGGTAAAAATGATTTTAAAAAGCTAAACACTTGGAAATTGTCAGGAAAAGAAACATTTTCAGTGGTAATGTCTGCATATACACTATGCGGATTATAATGAAATGCTTAACGCTATTGAGATCTGATAAAACTTATGGATCTATTCTCGTCTACAATGTTGGAGTGTGTCCTTTGTTGTATATGCACATAGACCAAGATGAGCGACACAGGCTCTTTAGAGCCTCTAGTTTGTCATTAAGATATGTTGAGAATAAGTTGGTTGTGCATATTTCAAAACATATGTTTAGTCACCAGGCAAGTTATTAAATGAATCAGGATCATGGTCACAAAATGTCTCCAATGTTACCGAAAGTCCCTAAGAAAAATTAATTGTTTAATAATTTAATGTTTATTGAGTAGGAATATAATCAAATGCTGCCAAGGTTTAGTTTTTAAATAGTGGCATACTTCATGTTATGGCTAAAACTAAAGAAGAAAAACATATCATAAAATCTTTATCAAAATCATAAACAATTACAATAACTAACAATTGTATAATTATAAACATGAAGTCTTAAAAAAAATAAAACTTGTCAATTCTATATCCTGATTATCACTTAAATTATACCACAAACTATTGCAAAATACAGTAAAGCCTTGTTATAAAGCTCCTTATTTTATCATCACATTGCTTTTAGACATTTTAAAAAGTCTAATGAAATAAAATTTGCTACTGACATGAAAATTTATGCCTGCTCTATCTCCCTAATATAATATCAAAACATTTCATATATTTCACATATTCATGTACAAATCTCTGAACTGTAAAGGGACTATCAAATCAATAAAACAAAAACATGTATTGCACCTATGCAAATTATGATAAATATTTCATTCCAGTGCCAGAATTCTTGAAGAATGTGGCCTAATCCATAAATCCTAATAAGAATAAAAAGGACTGCTACCAAAGGTCACAAAATTATGCCCAACGCCCCAACATTAACCAATGGCAAAGTCATGATTTGCTAAAAATAAGTCCTATAAGAAAAAGGTTCAAAACACAAAATGAGAGGTGCACAATGGCATTATATGGGTCTGATTCTGAGAAAAGCTTCAACAAATTCTAACAAGGGTTTAAAAAACCTCCCAAGAATATTGGAATGGAAAAATGAAAGTAAATCATGTGAGTATTAAAGGTTCAGTGAAAGATTCATAAAATTCTGTGATGCAATTCTGGAGCTTTTGCAGATACTACTACTTCTAGGGAGTGTTTAACGACCTTGACTACCATACAGTTACAAAATTTTGACGAACCAACGAACTGACAGATATGTATACAGTCTTTCCATCACTATATACCACCCCTTCAAAATGCAGGATTACAATGAAATGCTTAATGCTATTGAGATCTGATAAAACTTATGGATCTTCTACCTTTCACAAAACTTCTTGACAGTAATGGTTTAACAAAGTTTAAGTGTACATGTACTATAACAAGGTTTCACTATAAAATAACACATAATATAACTTTATTGGCATTAACGTGCTAACTCTGTTGACTGAGGAGGTTGATCTACCCTGTACACATAATCTGCTAGCATAAAATATCCACGGTATTCCACTTCATTTGGTGTTGTGTCGTTATGGTAATGGCCACCCTGACCATGTTCACTATAACAATGGAAATGTTCAACTCGTAAATCCATACCCTGAAACGAGAAATTACAAGTAAGTTGAAAGAGTCACATTTAGTTTACAATGCAAAATGAAAGCAATCTTTTCCTCTCAATGCTCACAAGCCTTTGATTGATTTCTTTTGCGCGCATGCTTTCTTATTTTATGATAAACTGTAGTTTGTTAAATTTATGTCATTTGTGAGATTGAAATGTCTTTTTGAAAAAGAATATTTAACTGGAACATTAACATTTAGGTGTAAATCATACTACATTGTATTAAGTGTTAAGAAAGTTAAAGGCTACAATTTTGAAGGTTAAAGTCTTTTGACAAAAGAAGTTACCACTTTTATGGTTTTGGTAAACATTCTAAATGCATCATTAAAACACAGTAAGCTTATCGAACACAACTGTTATTTTAGTGATATCTCTTTTACAAGTTCATGTGACTTAATTTCTAGCAAATGGCTCTTATTTTTTTTTTTTTAATCCCTTAATGGATCACATGATAATGATTTTCTTAAAACATTGCTGTGACTATGATGACAAATACTTACTGGATCATGTGACACAAGTTCTCCAAGACAAACTAATGGACTGTCCATTTCATAAAATTTCAGCCATTTACCTACTTGCTCTTGAGTAGTCAGTGGTGTTTTAGAAAAATCAGGCTGAAAAAACAATAATGATTCAATTTTATATAATTGTACCTGAACCATATAGATATGATTTACAAATCCTAAGATGAAAAATAGCTGTTTAAGGTGTCAGGAGCAAATTCAAAATGATAGTCAAGTAGGCCTAAATGCTTAAAGAATAAATGGAGTGAAGAAATTTAGCAAATTTTTCATTTGTAAAGGGGCATAACTCTAGAAATTTTACCAAAACAGGCAAAGCTTAAATACAAAATATGGAAAACTCAGACAGAGATTGAAAAAAGTGCACAATTGTATATATATACCATAATGTGGAGGTTAGCTTTCCCCTTCTCCACCAGAAAGACACCCCCTAGTGCCACAGGTTTGGTGCCATAATGACTGCCTAGGACTTTCCTGATACATGACATAAAATTTTCTTCTCCAGTTCTCTTACTAGCTTTTACTTCTATCACCTAAAAATAACACAATATAAAATAAAGTGTTATGGACAATTGGTTAACATCTATACCTTTATTACAACCTATCACCACAATTGTTTTTGTTCAAGAGTTGCCCTTGTCATTTGGGAAAATGGGAAAATGCTATTTATCATCATGTGGTAAAATTTGGCAGATACTTGTTACAATCAGCATGAAATTTTACAAAAATATTTTGTAAGTGATGTTGAACCCATCACATAAACAGTATAAACAAAAACCATTCCATCTGTTCTGTACTTTTAATTCAATATGACAAAAAATTCTAATGTAAAATACATTCAATGTATTCAAAATCTGATAAATATATCTGGGTTCACAAAATTTGTTGATTTAAATTGTAGCCTTATCATACTTTATAGCATTTTGTAGACAGTTGTTTGTCTTTTCATTGTATTTTTTTTTGCTATGTCTCTTTTTGTCTGTCTCTCTTTAACTTATGAGTTTTGGTTGTCTTTTCCTCTCATTTTTTAGCCTCTTTCACAATACTGGTTTCTTACAATTGTTAACTGCTGGTATCTTTCATTTTCAGTTCGAAATCATGTGCATCTGACAACTCTTAAATTTAGTTAATGATAAAAATTCATATTGCATCAAAGAACAATTAATATAAACTGTTTATATTGTGAATTATCCATGAAATAATTATGAATTGTGGTCAACTAGATGTAACCACATTACCTTCAATGGGCAACGCCCCATACCATCTAGAAATATATGTATGTGTATTTTATGACTTATAAAACAATTACAAACCTTTCCTGGGTTACCATCACAACATAAAAAATTTCCCATCAAAGAAAATTCATTTTTAGTCAGTTTCTCCTGGATACATCCTCCATCCTGTCAAAAAAATCATTAAAATGAAGAAGAGACTTAAGGTCAACATCAATGAGACAACAACACAAACATCAAAACATCAATTCTTTTTTTAGTTTTCAAATCCCTTTCTGTTCCCGTGTTTCAATAAAATTTAGATTACCCTGAAATGTGTGTGTAAATGATTTCGATTTTATAAACATTGTTTCGTAGAGTTATCTCCCATATGTTGTGAATTTTATTTCTTGAATTCATCCAAACTGTGCTGATAAAGAAATGTCATGTATGAATAAAAATGTGTGGCTTGATGTAAATCAAAATCTTTTTTTTCTAAATTGTACCACAAACCACATTCTGCTGATGTATAAGTGGATTTAAAACAAATATTGAAATACTGCTTTATTGTTTATGTCAGAGCCAGTTGTGACTTTCTAAATGCTAAGGAATGTAAATTTATTCATTGAACTGACAACTACTATAAACTTGTATCTATTTGTTATTTAGGTATGATGCTTAATTATATAAGACAAGTGTAAAATGTGTTTTATACATACTTTTGTGCTGACTTTTGCAATGTGTGAATTCATAACAGCAACATTTCCAGACTTGTCCAACTTCACATCATTAATCAGCTAAAAAATACAATTTTAATTTTCATAACAGATATAAATTAGATTAATTGATTGATTTTTGGTGTTTAGCACCACTTTTAACACACTTTGCTATTTCATGGCAGCCAGTTTTTTATTGCGGGGAAATTGGGAAGGTATAAATTAGAATCTTTGTTTAGATTCATCTTCACCATTGCTGTTTCATTTTTGTTTGGCATTTTTTTTCAAAATGATGCTGTAACATGACAGCATGATCATGATATATTTTCATTATTATTTGTATTAATACAGAAATTTTTCATTAATATCAGCAACACCTTACAATTTATATGGCAATCAATTTCAACAGAAAAAAAGAAAATAAACATTCTGAAACTTCCATTATAAATTTACAATATTAAAACTTTTAATACACATAATTTTTTATGTGTTGTCGATTAAAATGTGTCGACCATCTGAGCATGCTTTCTACACAATGCAATTTTTAACACACAAATTTGTCTATTTGTTTGAGTTCTCTCTGGATTATAGCATCAATATTTCAATTTATGTCAACCCTTTCTACTTGACATATTGTGACAACAGGGCTGCATATATTATGGCTGCAGCTAGAAAAAAAATGGTTTGGACATGCACAAGCAATTTAACCTCACATAAAAATTTCATGTAAACTGCATGTACTGTAAACTAAGTACAGGGTTAATATTAAAATTCTTGCTCACCTCACAACAACACCCAATATGTTTATGTGGCCCTGCTCCTGCTCCAATCATAAATGCTCCTGGTAATTCTACCAACTCAGCAATCTGGGTAAATGTATAGACCTGAAAACATAACTAGAGGCTCTCAAGAGCCTGTGTCGCTCACCTGACTCTACTTTGGTTTTAGAAATCATGTAAAGATAGATAAAAATCATAACAGATACCCAAATAATGATTGAGGCCAAATTTTGATTAATATTGGTCCCGTTATTTAATTAAATATCCTGGTGGCCATCTTGAACAGTAAATCAGCAACAAAGTAGCAACACTTGGTCAGCACTTTATAAGGAACATTTATCCCATGTTTGGTTTCATTCCATTCAGTGGTACTCTAAAAGAAGACATTTGTATGTATTTCCCATAGGGTCCTATGTTAAACTAAGCCCCCCCCCCCCCCCCCCTAACAGCCATCTTGGATGATGGATCGACTGCAAAGTAACAACACTTGGTCAGCAACTCATAAGAAACATTCATGCCATGTTTGGTTCAATTCCATTCATTGGTTCTCTAAAAGAAGACAATTGTATGTATTTCCCATAGGGTCCTATGTTAAACTAAGAACCCCGCTGTCGGCCATCTTGGATGATGGATCGGCTGCAAAATTACAACACTTAGTCAACATCTCATAAGGAACATTCATGCCATGTTTGGTTCCATTCCATTTATTTGTTCTCTAAAAGAAGACATTTTTATGTATTTCCCAAAGGGTCCTATGTAAAACTAAGTCCCCCGCTGGCGGCCATCTTGGATGATGGATCGGCTACAAAGTAACAACACTTGGTCAGCATCTCATAAGGTAGATTCATGCCATGTTTGGTTTCATTCCATTCAGTGGTTCTCTAAAAGAAGACATTTGTATGTATTTCCCATAGGTCCAATGTTAAACTAAGTCCCCCGCTGGCGGCCATCTTGGATGATGGACCGACTGCAAAGTAACAACACTTGGTCAGCAACTCATAAGGAACATTCATGCCATGTTTGGTTCCATTCCATTCAGTGGTTCTCTAAAAGAAGACAATTGTATGTATTTCCCATAGGGTCCTATGTTAAACTAAGTCCCCCGCTGGCGGCCATCTTGGATCATGGATCGGCTGCAAAATTACAACACTTAGTCAACATCTCATAAGGAACATTCATGCCATGTTTGGTTCCATTCCATTTATTCGTTCTCTAAAAGAAGACATTTTTATGTATTTCCCAAAGGGTCCTATGTAAAACTAAGTCCCCCGCTGGCGGCCATCTTGGATGATGGATCGGCTACAAAGTAACAACACTTGGTCAGCATCTCATAAGGTAGATTCATGCCATGTTTGGTTTCATTCCATTCAGTGGTTCTCTAAAAGAAGACATTTGTATGTATTTCCCATAGGTCCAATGTTAAACTAAGTCCCCCGCTGGCGGCCATCTTGGATGATGGACCGACTGCAAAGTAACAACACTTGGTCAGCAACTCATAAGGAACATTCATGCCATGTTTGGTTCCATTCCATTCAGTGGTTCTCTAAAAGAAGACATTTTTATGTATTTCCCATAGGGTCCTATGTTAAACTAAGTCCCCCGCTGGCGGCCATCTTGGATGATGGATCGGCTTCAAAGTAACAACACTTGGTCAGCACCTCATAAGGAACATTCATGCAATGTTTGGTTTCATTCCATTCAGTGGTTCTCTAAAAGAAGACAATTGTATGTATTTCCCATAGGGTCCTATGTTAAACTAAGAACCCCCGATGGCGGCCATCTTGGATGATGGATCGGCTACAAAGTAACAACACATGGTCAGCACCTCATAAGGAACATTCATGCCATGTTTGGTTTTATTCCATTCAGTGGTTCTCTAAAAGAAGTCATTTGTATGCATTTCCCATAGGGTCCTATGTTAAACTAAGTCCCCTGCTGGCGGCCATCTTGGATGATGGATCGGCTACAAAGTAACAACACTTGGTGAGCACCTCATAAGGAACATTCATGCCATGTTTGGTTTCATTCCATTCAGTGGTTCTCTAAAAGAAGTCATTTGTATGCATTTCCCATAGGGTCCTATGTTAAACTAAGTCCCCCGCTGGCGGCCATCTTGGATGATGGATTGGCTACAAAGTAACAACACTTGGTCAGCACCTCATAAGGAACATTCATGCCATGTTTGGTTTCATTCCATTCAGTGGTTCTCTAGAAGAAGTTCAAAATGTAAAAAGTTAACGCCGACGACGGACGACGCCGGACGACGGACGACGGACGCCAAGTGATGAGAAAGCTCACTTGGCCCTTCGGGCCAGGTGAGCTAAAAATGCTCCAGGTTATTCTACCAGCTCAGCATTCTGAGTATATGTATAGACCTGAAAACATAAAATGTTCCAGGTAATTCTACCAGCTCAGCAATCTGAGTAAATGTATAGACCTGAAAACATAAAATGCTCCTGGTATTCTACCCACTCAGCATTCTGAGTAAATGTATGGACCTGAAAACAAAAAAATGCTCCAGGTAATTCTACCAACTCAGCAATCTGAGTAAATGTATCGACCTGAAAGCATAAAATGTTCCAGGTAATTCGTCTAACTCAGCATTATGAGTAAATGTAGACCTGAAAACTTAAAATGCTCCAGGTAATTCTACCAACTCAGCAATCTGGGTAAATGTATAGACCTGAAAACATAAAATGCTCCAGGTAATTCTACCAACTCAGCAATCTGAGTAAATGTATAGACCTGAAAACATAAAATGCTCCAGGTAATTCTACCAACTCAGCAATCTGGGTAAATGTATAGACCTGAAAACATAAAATGCTCCAGGTAATTCTACCAACTCAGCAATCTGAGTAAATGTATAGACCTGAAAACATAAAATGCTCCAGGTAATTCTACCAACTCAGCAATCTGGGTAAATGTATAGACCTGAAAACATAAAATGCTCCAGGTAATTCTACCAACTCAGCAATCTGAGTAAATGTATAGACCTGAAAACTTAAAATGCTCCAGGTAATTCTACCAACTCAGCAATCTGGGTAAATGTATAGACCTGAAAACATAAAATGCTCCAGGTAATTCTACCAATTCAGCAATCTGAGTAAATGTATAGACCTGAAAACATAAAATGCTCCAGGTATTCTACCAACTCAGCATTCTGAGTAAATGTATGGACCTGAAAACATAAAATGCTCCAGGTAATTCTACCAACTCAGCAATCTGGGTAAATGTATAGACCTGAAAACATAAAATGCTCCAGGTAATTCTACCAATTCAGCAATCTGAGTAAATGTATAGACCTGAAAACATAAAATGCTCCAGGTATTCTACCAACTCAGCATTCTGAGTAAATGTATGGACCTGAAAACAAACAAAAAATGCTCCAGGTAATTCTACCAACTCAGCAATCTGAGTAAATGTAAAGACCTGAAAGCATAAACTGTTCCAGGTAATTCTACCAACTCAGCATTATGAGTAAATGTAGACCTGAAAACATAAAATGCTCCAGGTAATTCTACCAACTCAGCATTCTGAGTAAATGTATAGACCTGAAAACTTAAAATGCTCCAGGAAATTCTACCAACTCAGCAATCTGGGTAAATGTATAGACCTGAAAACATAAAATGCTCCAGGTAATTCTACCAACTCAGCATTCTGAGTAAATGTATAGACCTGAAAACATAAAATTCCCCAGGTAATTTTACCAACTCAGCATTCTGCGTAAATGCATAAACTTGGACACAAAGACTAAAAAAGATATGTCACAGTCTATCATCTGATGGCAGTGACTGCAAGATTGTCAATTATTTTATTTACAATGTAATTAATTGATGACTTCAGTATATGCTAACCTATAAAACATATATATTTTTGTCATCAGTCAATTTCATGAAGATTCTTTTATTTGGTTATATATGTGAAATTGTCTTGATGTTGATATATATGTAATGAATAAACTTATGAACCTTAAACTCTTCATGTAGGGCCTGTTCAGTAGGTTATGTCCAGGTACCAGTACATTATTTCTCATGAGCTGATTTGAATGAACTTTTTGAAAACAATTTAAGTATTACAATATTTGTACCTTGTTAAGCTGTGGCAATGGTGTCAGGTAGGGAGGTCCACCAATGTCAGCAAGTCTTGGGTTTCCATTCAAACCTGTTCAAAAATGTTTTAATAAATTATTATGAAAATCAAAATTTTACAACTTTCGTCTTGAATTTTATCTATTATACAGTTTCAACTATTGCAGAATCAGTAGCATACATCCAGTTAGCTTGAAATTTGGGCAGACCTGTAAACATTTCAAATCACATAATTGAAAGTACACCATGTCACTTTGTTTCTTTCTAATGAATTATCTAATCACTACTTAAAGTTAACAATGGAACATTTTGCAAAGACAATTTTCAAGTGGTCAATCCCAATAACAATCTTTATTGCTTGCTTTTATTTTCATGTAATTTTAAGTTTGTTATGGATGAGCCTATATTTAACATTAAGATTTACCTGGTGCTGATAGACCATATGGTTTCTGGGTCAGATCAGGACAATCTACAACATTCACACTGACTGTTGAAAAATTCTTCTCTAAACCACCATTTAATACTACAAAAAATAGAAAAACAATATTTACTTTCAAAAACAGCATAAACCAGTTTTTTGTGAACATAAAATTAAGGAGATGTGAATGCATGTCAATAATACAACTATTCACCAAGTACAAAAGGTGAGAAAAAAGCAAAATATAATATAAATCATTGTTACTTGTCTAATACACTATTGAATGAAGTCTATTAAAATAAAATCTTTGTACTTTGACCTTTTCGGTACAAAACAAAGCCTATTAAAATAAGATATTTTGTTACTTTTAATATCAACTATGCTACCAAAAGATATTCAGCAAAATATGAAATGTTCTATGATATGTTCTTAAAAGTATGTGACATCCAGGTGTTAATTAAAAAGTAAATTTTCATTATGGGGGAATCTGTTCCTATATGAAGGTATAAAGCAGACGTGCCATGCCGCTGGAATGGGTAACTTTTATTTTAAATATATCAACGTCAATGGTGTGAAATTTCATCAATGAAACATATCAATGGGTCAAAATGTTTCATTTTTCCATTAAATGTCTGTAAATACAGTGCACCACACCTTATATCTAGTGAGTATGAATGATGTGATCTTTATCTGCTGAAACTTGTATTGACATAAGAAGTCAAGAAAAAACTTTTTCATCTAAATAAAGATGTAACAGGACTTAATATTTACAACTGAGAAATATATGAATGGGTAATGATTTTGCCATGAAATACATTTTTGGGTGGGTTATTCACAAAACTTCTATATAATTGGGGGTGTTTTTCAAACCAAGCTGAATGCCTGTATTCAAAATCATATGTTGAGGAACCCCCCTCCTTACATGCCTATGGTGATTATTAGCCTGGACACAATATTTTTGGTAACACTTAAGATGATATGTAGTGTGCTATATAGAACAAGCTTCTCTCTTTATTTATATATTTGCCAATTTCAGTCATGTTGCTTGGATATGCAACATGGGTATGGGTACATAAATGAAATGAATAAAAAAATTAAAAAAAACATTTGGGGAAAATTAATTTATTTTCAGACTCACTGATTTTATAAAAAATGAATTTTCTAAGACTTTTTTTTGGGGAGGGGGGGGGGGGGACCGTAAAGAGCTTTTTATATCCCAAGTAGTCTAGTTTCAGTTGTTTAATAATAAAAAAAAATAGCCTTGCGATTTATGAACAATAGCCAACACAGGATCTTATGACAACGACCCCTTATATTTTATTTTAAACTTTTTTGTAAAAACCAAAAAAGGGGGTCCATGACAAAAGCCTGTTACCTAAGAAATGGTGAACTTATATATGTTTGTATCGAGAGAATTTTCTAAATTTCAGATCGGTTTATTCTAAAATTTTAAAAGTAGATAAATACATGTTTTCAACTTGTTCAAGTTGTTGTCGCATACATAATCCGCGTACTATATTTTGACCTTAGATAAAACGGACAATTTTATCATATTTCACCTTTTGCAACTTCTTCCATTGATGGAACATGCATATCTGCCTTTTGTACGGGTATACTTTGTGATGACATCTTTTATCTGCTCGTGTATTTTGCAAGAAACTATGTGCTTTGTGGGCTGTTTGTTGCCTGTTTCTGTTATCTAGTAGTGATGATTAGAGTTATCGTCCCTGATACTAGGCATTACGAAAAGATGGAAGTCATTCATTCCATGCCATCACGGAAATACGGAATCACTTACAGAAAAGGTAAACCGGGAATCCATTATATCTTTCTCCTTTTTCTGTCTCCACTCTACAAACGATTGAATTAGATTACAAAAATTATTGCAGGAAGGTCAACTGGTCTTCAATTGTTAGAAGTGATTGATAAGTGGACAGATCGAGGCACTAGATCATGGTTTTGACATAGACTGCGTATATACTGACTTTATGAAGGCCTTTGATAAGGTACCTCATAGAAGATTGATAGCCAAAATTAAAAATCTAGGTATTAATGAAGATATAGTAGGGTGGATCACAAACTTCTTAGAAGACAGGAAACAAAAAAGTCATAGTGAATGGTGAAGAATCAGATTGGGCGAATGTTACATCAGGGATATCCTAAGGATCAGTATTAGGACCACTACTATTTGTACTATATATAAATGATCTTCCAGACCTAGTGGATTCTGATGCCTACCTATTTGCAGATGACACCAAATTCTTCAGAATAATAAAAACCCAAAATGACAGAGAAATTCTACAAGATGATCTACATAAGATGGAAGCCTGGTGTGACAAATGGTTACTCAAATGTCACCCTGAAAAATGTAAATACATGATAATATGCAAGAAATCAAACAGCACTGATCAATCACCAAATTATAGTCTACTAATTAAATCATCCAATAGCAAAGTTTAAAGAGGAAAAAGATATAGGAGTCCTTATCGACTCAGAACTCACCTTTGAGAATCACATAAGTGAAAAAGTGAACAAGGCCAACTCCATATTTGCAGTTCTCAGAAGAACATTTAAATACTTGGGAATTGAGACATTCATACCACTATACAAAACCATGGTTAGAACTCATTTGGACTATGCAAGTTCAGTTTGGTCTCCATACAAGAAAAAAGATATTGATAAAATAGAAGGAGTCCAAAGAAGGGTAACAAAACAACTACCAGGTCTCAAAGACATGAGCTATCCAGAGAGACTTAAAAAACTAGGTTTACCATCACTATCTTATAGGAGAATAAGAGGGGATATGATTGAAACCTTCAAAACAATCAATGGCTACTATGACAAAGAAGTAAGCTCATTTTTAAAAATGGCAGATGATTCTCAACAAAGATTTAGTAGCAGGACAAACAGTAACAAAGTCATTCACCAAAGATTCCAATCTAATATCCGTAAACACTCATTCTCTGTTAGAATTGCTAAAACCTGAAACAAACTACCAGATAAAATAACAAAGGCCCCATCCATTAATGCCTTTAAAAACCGACTAGATAAATATTGGTCCGACGAAGAGCTATATTATAATAACTACAGAACAGAAATATCCGGAAGTCACGGACAAAACAGTACTAGAAAAAAACTTAAATTATGAGTGGTGAAGAGGAACCTTAAGGGATCCTGTACTGGAAATCAACTATAAGTAACTATAGTTTGTTTCCTGATCTTACTTCAGTAACCGCAATAAAACGCGGTAGCAAAAGAATGGAAAGCATCATGTAGTATACAAACAGTACATATAAAACTCAAATATAATTCGAATCGCTAATATTTAGAGTGTTCCTAATAGTCCTTTAGCATGATATATAATTTCTCAAAATATACCAATTTTTATCTTTTAGGAGAAATGCGGATCATAACTTGTATTGAAGACGCCGGAGACAATTACTGTGTAGAAGTCTACTTCAACTTTAACTTAAATTAGGTTACTTAATTAGTAACATCCGCAAGCAGAGCCTCAAAATTTTTAAAAGAATAAACCGGTATTTACCCTGTACAATTATGTGGAAGTTTAGCATATTCCCTTGGCTGCAACCTTAAATGCATCCAATTTTGGGACGCCTATCACAGGTGGTGGTAGTTGGTTCCATAAGATGTTTGTTCGTGGAAAGAACAAGTATTTAAACACATTTATATTTGTCCGATTCGTCTGAAATTTCCATGCATGGCTGTGTTAAGTTGGCTTGTCGTCTTATTGTGCACCTAATGGGCCCATTGATTTGGAATATTGTATATTATATTATTTTGCTATTATATTGAGAATTTGAGACACACCAAGTAACACCGTTAATTCCTCATTACTATTCGATGATACAGCAAATCATATGAGGGTACCAAAATTGCACCGTGGCTATATTGACAGTTTCCATTCTGTGTAGATTTTGTAGATGTATAAAATTGAGAATGGAAATGGGGAATGTGTCAAAGAGACAACAACCCGACCATAGAGCAGACAACAGCCGAAGGCCACCAATGGGTCTTCAATGCAGCGAGAAACTCCCGCACCCGGAGGCGTCCTTCAGCTGGCCCCTAAACAAATATGTATACTAGTTCAGTGATAATGGACGTCATACTAAACTCCAAATTATACACAAGAAACTAAAATTAAAAATGATACAAGACTAACAAAGGCCAGAAGCTCCTGACTTGGGACAGGCGCAAAAATGCGGCGGGGTTAAACATGTTTTTTGAGATCTCAACCCTCCCCCTATACCTCTAGCCAATATAGAAAAAAACAAACGTACAACAGTACTCACAGTAAAACTCAGTTTAAGAGAAGTCCGAGTCCGATGTCAGAATAGGAAACAAAAGAAAATAAACAAAATGACAATAATACATAAATAACAACAGACTACTAGCAGTTACTGACATGCCAGCTCCAGACCTCAATTAAACTGATTGAAAGATTATGTCTTCATCATATGAATATCAGGCACAATCCCTCCTGTTAGGGGTTTAGTATTATACCATCATAAAATATATGAGAAGAACATAACCCGTGTCATGCCAACAACTGGTTTTAGAATAAATATGTTTAATTCCGATGCAAAGACCCTATAAGTGAATCAATATTAAAGCCAAAATATGCAATCTTTAATGACCTGACAACAGTATCGTAACTATATCCCTTCTTAATAAGTCTGTTTAAAGGTTTTGTTAGCTTTTGAGGTGAATACTGACATTTTTGTGCTTTGTAAAGAATATTACCATAAAAGATTGGATGTGAAATACCCGAACGTATAAGATGTCTGCATGTTGAGTTATATTTACGAATGATGTCCTTATACCGATGATAAAATTTAGTAAATGTTTTGACTAGTTTATGATATCGAAAACCCTGGTGTAATAATTTTTCAGTAATACATAAATTTCTCTCGCTAAAATCTAATACGTTGTTACATACACGAGCGAATCGTACAAGTTGAGATATATTAACACTATAAGATGGCGACAAGGGAACGTCGCCATCTAAAAATGGATAATTAACGATATGAAATGAAAAATCATCTCTTTTATCATACATTTTTGTATTAAGCTTCCCGTTAATGATATAGATATCAAGATCGAGGAAAGGACAGTGGTCATTGTTAGTATTAGCTTTATTTAAAGAAAGTTCAACAGGATAAATTTCTTTAGTATACACACTGAAGTCGTCATTATTGAGAGCCAATATATCATCCAAACATCTAAAAGTATTGTTAAATTTTTGTATCAGATGTTGTTTCGATGGGTCTTTGCTGATTTTAGTCATAAATTGTAACTCATAACAATACAAAAATCCCTATTTGCTATTTAGTACCACAGGTTTAATTTTGAATCCATACTGAATCATAGAAAAATGGATTTGAACCGACCTCAAAACGATCCAAGATTTTCTGATGAGGAGTACCTAAATTGCACCCATGCTTAACTACACATCCGTAAAAATCGAAAAACAAATGCTTTGATTTATTTCTCCAAATTTTTTGAACAATTAGACAATAAATAGTCCATGATTGTTATGTATTTTGTATCAAATGGATGTCTTAGACATATAATATATGTCTAAGACATCCATTTGATACAAAATATTATATTCTATTTTCTCATTTTTAAAAGTAGACTTTTTGTGCACGTCGCATGCAACGTTTCCGTAAATTTTACTTTTTTCACTGGAGTCTTCATCTGTTTATATATACTAAAGTAATGTGACTATTTAAGAATATTTAGCTATGTTGAAAGGCGTGCATTATGATAAATGATAAATATACAAATTGTTTGGTCTCTAAGAAAACATATAGATATCCGTCACTTTTTATGTAAAATGGATGCAAATTGGGTACTGTTAATTATGTTATATATGTATCAGCAACTTGTTATGAAACGTCAATGAAGCAACAATATAAAACAGCTAAACACGGCCTTTGATGATTGACAAACTTTCAGACAACTGGCATGATATTCACTGTTTGATATTGAGACACTGCTAACGGATAGAAAGGCTTATATTTTATTGCTATGAAAAACATGTATTAGGTTCAACTTTTGCATGTTTCGGATCAATCGAAATGCGGTAATGTTTCATTGAATTAGGCTTTTACATCTTGTAATTTTGCATATATATATATTATATATATATATATATATATATATATATATATATATATATACAAGTCTAAATTGAAAACAACCTTCAAACCTATGATTGCGTTGGATAAAAACCGCAATTTTTATACGTGTGCATGCAAAACAAATTTCTTGATAGAGGGGTCTAAATACAGCACAAACAACATTTTCCAAAAGACCAAAAAAGTGAAAAAGTATAATTGAACAAAACGCATTTGACTAACAGGTCGAACAACAGATGTTCTTAAACCCTGCTGACTGCCATTGGCGATTGCCAAATAAACGGATCACAAGATGTTACAAAATGGATCTTTTAAAATTTAAAAATTTAATACCAAACAGAAAACAATAAACTTGCGGAAAAGATGGTATACCGCAAACAAAAGGAAAAAAAAATTAGTACACCATATCCGGATTTCGACAATTAATGTCTCTTCAGTGATGTTAGGGATCGAAACGGTATTTGGAAGGCCATATAATTTACCTCAATGTAGGATAGACTCTGAATTTTGAAGAGTCGAAATATTAGAAATAGGATGAACGGATCATATAAACCCGAAGGAAAATATAATACAAGCCCAAACGAAATATACTTATATATATATATATATATATATATACAAGTCTAAATTGAAAACAACGTTCAAACCTATGATTGCGTTGGATAAAAACCGCAATTTTTATACGTGTGCATGTAAAACAAATTTCTTGTTAGAGGGGTCTAAATACAGCACACACAACATTTTCCAAAAGACCAAAAAAGTGAAAAAGTATATTTTAACAAAACGCATTTGACTAACAGGTCGAACAACAAATGTTCTTAAACCCTGCTGACTGCCATTGGCGATTGCCAAATAAACGGATCACAAGGTGTAATAAATAGATCTTAACTATAAATTTTATACCAAACAGAAAACAGTAAACTTGCGGCGAAGATGGTATACCGCAAACAAAGGTGCAAAGATTTTTTGTACACCATATCCGGATTTCGACAATTAATGTCTCTTCAGTGATGTTAGGAATCGAAACGGTTATTGGAAGGCCACATAATTTACCTCAATTTAGGATAGACTCTTGAATTTTGAGGAGTCAAAATAGGATGAACGGATCATATTAACCCGAAGGCAAATATAATACAAGCCCAAACGAAAAAATATAAACAAGTCTAAATTGAAAACAACGTTCAAACCTATGATTGCGTTGGATAAAAACCGCAATTTTTATACGTGTGCATGCAAAACAAATTTCTTGTTAGAGGGGTCTAAATACAGCACAAACAACATTTTCCAAAAGACCAAAAAAGTGAAAAAGTATATTTTAACAAAACGCATTTGACTAACAGGTCGAACAACAAATGTTCTTAAACCCTGTTGACTGCCATTGGCGATTGCCAAATAAACGGATCACAAGGTGTAATAAATGGATCTTAACTATAAATTTTATACCAAACAGAAAACAGTTAACTTGCGGCGAAGATGGTATACCGCAAACAAAGGTGCAAAGATTTTTTGTACATATATATATATATAAGTACTTATATATATATATATATATATATATATATATATATATATATATATATATATATATATATATATATAAGTACGTCTGAACCAGTGACAACTCTACAACAGATTAATCCAATTGGATCACCATCACGCTGGTGATCCAATGGATTAATCTGTTGTAGAGTTGTCACTGGTTCAGACGTACTTATAAATATAATTATTTCTGTGATTGTATCTTGCATTAATTTGTAGGATCCTTTACAATAGATATTTCAGCTGATCTGTAACAATTCCATCTTCATGCTATATATATCATGTACTGTATTACGACGCTAGATTAAAACTGACGAGGAAAGGTAACACACGGCCACCGAAAGCTTTATTTTTGTGAAGCCTAGGTGGTCGTGTGGTCTAGCGTGTCGGATACAGTGCAGGCGATTTGGTGTCACGATATCTCAGTAGCATGAGTTCGAATCCCGGCGAGGGAAGAACAAAAAATTTGCAAAAGCAAATTTACAGATCTAACATTGTTGGGCTGATGTTTAGACGAGTTATATATATATATATATACAAGTGAGTTCTAAAATCATGATTTAGGTCGAGTTAGCAGGGGTGAACTAAGTCCCTAAAAGACATGTAAAGAGTTAGAATCAACCACAACCACCGAATAGGATGAGTATGATTATGTTACATCATCGTGTATAACAGAGGTTCAGAAAATCATGTTTTGTAAAAACTCAGCCCCCACCGAAACCTACAATCTTTATCATTGGAATTACAAAAGATACAGCTGATTCACATACTGAAAAGATCCATTCAACCCTTGATTCAACATAAAAACGATATTCACAGCGACAAATTACACCAAGCTACATGATGAAGTACCATACTCGGAAATACTCAAGGAATTCCTGAAATCCAGCTTTACTTATATATATATAGTATTTTTATCAGTTTATATCAAGAATCATTCCATAACACTGGATTTGATCTTGACCTCTATTTTTCTAAGTTTTCACACAGAAACGCCACTAACAATGCAGAATAGCACGTTGAATCATCCTTTTATGCTTATTCTAAAATTGAACAATGAAAAAGAAAAATGATCAAAATTTCAGTCGGTGTAATAAAGGGCATTGGTATTTAATTTGGCAACGTAACACAAACTTGCAGTACATATATAATTCATATATAAAGCAGTGTTATGTACTTTTACTTTTACTGAAAATCTTGTCTCTGCAGAGGTATCAGAGCCGTCTATTCAGAGCAGAAGTAGTTTCGCTATTTATATTAATTGATGGGGACACTAAATCCGATACCTCGTGAAGATAGAGTATCACGCTCTCTGCGCGTTAAAAATCACGACAACAACTATTTGAGGGGTCCGTATAGGTGATCTGTTGCAAGTCATAAATTCTGTCCCTATCCAATTTATCCTCATTTCCCCCCCCCCCCCCCCCAAACGTCATCTCGGATAGCCTATTATTACAGAACCTACCTATTGTATTTATTGTTAGTTTGTTTTCGTTCTGAACATGCATGTAATATTTGCCACTGGACGTTAAGCAACCACCAATCAATCAATCTATATTATTCGAAGAGTTATGTGTAATTTTAATCGTTTTCTTCATCGTATATCTGCATAACTATGGTAAAAAGATAAACGTGAACTTGAAAGCAAACCAACAACAACCTCTGTAACAAAAAATACGCAGGGAAATCTAGATGTAACTATTCAGGTAAAACATGTTTTTTTTCCATGGAAAGTTTTAGCACCGGCAATTAGCTGATTCTTTTATTTATTTTATTAAATTCTGAGCACTCGAGAGCACCTCCTCTGTTCAATGGATAACATTCTCATCACAACTAACGAGAATGTAACGAATCTTCTAAGAATAGGGAAAAATAATAATTTGGAATAAAACATGGTGCTGTATTGAGATCTGGTAAATGATCAACTAATATTGACAGTTATGGTATATATGCTAAACTATTTAACTCTGTTCTCTAGATTTTAGCGTATTTTTGTGTATGTGTCCAGAAATTTTGTAACGATTTTGTCCATCATCGGTCCACTGTTGGAAATAAATGCCCTCTGATCTTTTATACGGAAATCTGCATAAACAAGAATAGAATAGACATCACGAGAGGGTCTGGATGGGGTATATGTAATAGGGAATAATGACAGAAAATAAAGATCAGGGAAAATCAACGAAAAAATAAAGAATAGGGAATAATGGTGTGCTAAATTATAAAGAACAGAGAATAATGTAGTGTTTAAAAGAATATAGAGATATTCAATTCATTGATTGATTGTTATGTACTTAACGTCCAGTGGCATATATTTCATGCATATCCAGGACGAGAACAAATTAACAAAGAATACATTAAGTAGGATATGCAAGATTGGGTTCTACCGGGATGAAGGCGGGAAATATGGACTGCGACTGTTAAATATAGGTATGTTTGAAAGGAACTGAGAAATTTTGTCTTGTAACTGACTACCTACGGACTCCTAATCTAGAGAGTTGTTTCGAGGGTTCTTTAACGCACAGAGAGCTTGACACTCTTTCTACACGAGGAATCGGATTTAACTGTCCAATTCCGACCGGACGTGGCTGCGTATTTATACATTCCTCACAGCCAAACGGACGCCTATTCTAGCAAGGATTATTATGCCGGACTGGCCATATTTCTATACCCCAGTCAACTCTAGAAAAGAGAAATAATGGGCCAAATAACAAGAATAGAGAAAAATGACTTATAAATTAAGGAATACAGAATAATTAAGAAATATCATGAACCTGCGGCTTCTCCTGAATATATTTATAAACATCGATTTTGAATTTTTCCCGCTTCTAATCTTTAACAACGAGTAGGCGCTTAATTATACATGTGTTTAGCTGACATAATATTACATTTAAATAATTCAGATAAACAAGTTCAATACACATTACTCCATTATACACATACATGTAAACATGCCTGTTGTGCAGGTGACAACTAGTCTTACTAACGAACAGATACCTAAAGATTTTGCAAAGAAATTTTCTGTGTTTCTTGCCGAGACCTTGGACAAGCCAATCGAGGTAGATATTTATATATAAATACAAGAACTTTTACCTGTGAATTATACATTGTGCCCGCCCCTTTTTTTATTTATTGACCGATTTTTGTACTCCGAAGACCACATTTGATGAAATTAGATTTTTTCGTCAAGTTTTTATAGTAATTAACTAACTTTACCTTAATCCGACAGACTCTGAAAACTGAATAATTATTCTTAGATTTGTAGGATATAGTGAGATAAATTGCCTCCAATGTTATGGCTTGAATTGATTTTTACTAAAAACAAATGTGACAGTTAAGTTTATTTTGAATATCAATTTTGAAAGGACGAGTGCATTGCATTTTTAGCCATGCAAGAGATACTGATCCAACAGGCAAATTATGTGGTTACTTACGCAACTGATTTTATCATACTTTCTATCTAAAATCGAGCAAAATCAATATACAGTTGTTGATCTATTTTTGACGCTATAACACCGTCACCGTGGGGTCAGTTGAGGAGATTCTATCGAAACAGTTTGAATAAGGAAGATATTTTCTTTGAACATTGTCTATTTAAGTGTTCTTGACCCCGGTCGTAACCATTGACCCCCCGACATTTCTGGCTACAGGCTTGTTTTACAAGTATTGTTCATTTTATTTTACACTGTATACAATGTAGCTACTCAGTTATGTTGAACAGCTTCTTATTCAGACTTTCATAAAACTTTTATAATATATGCATCTTCATTTAACCCTAACCTTTACAATAATGTCATGTAAATCATCTTCTCTTTCAGAAGATAACAGTAGTAATCAGCTGTGATGCTTTAGTTTGTAATGCTGGAGACGAACCCTTACCTTTACAATAATGTCATGTAAATCATCTTCTCTTTCAGAAGATAACAGTAGTAATCAGCTGTGATGCTTTAGTTTGTAATGCTGGAGACGAATCGCCGTTCTTGCTGATGTCAATCATATCCATCGCGAGATTTAACGAGAAAGATAATCCAGACTATACGGACAAAATTGTTAACTTTGTAAAGGAAGAAACAAAACTACCTGGAAACAAGTATGACTTTAATTACAGCATAGGCTGCTTTATTTTAGTTTTATAGAATTTATGAATGCTTTCCTGCCCACAGGCGATGGGTTCAGGATTTAGATTTTTTTTCATTAATTACTTTTCACTGAATATTAAATTTTCTATATTTTATACCACATACTTAACCCTTCTATGTTTCAGTGTCCTACATTGTTTTGAGTGAACGTATCAACTCCTATAATCCCTTATTTTACAGTCCATACTAAAAATGTTGTTTTTAAATTGAATATTAAATTCAAACAATGAAAAAAGTATATCGAAGTCCTGTACTGAAGGCCCTTCAAACTGGGAAAGGAGGCGTTTTCAGAATTTTAATCCCGTGGAAAGTATGATCAAAAGATGTATGATTGATTGATTGCTGCTTACTAAACGTTAAATGGGAAATAAAGTTCATGCATAATAAGGACGAAAACAAATGAAGAATTAATGCAGTAAGTAGGTTATGTAAGGTAGGCCGACTGGGTTTAAGGGCGGTTAAATTCTTTAAGCAAGTTGCCTCCCGATTTAAATATATATTTATACCCCCGCTTTAAAAAAATGTGGGGTATACTGTTTTACCTCTGTCTGTCCGTCCATCCATCCGTCCATCTATCCGTCCATCCGTCAGTCTATCCTTCAGTCCGTCCGTCCGTCCCATGAATATTTTTCGTCGCATCTTTCTCAGGAACTACATTACAAGGATTTCTGAAATTTGGTTTCAGGGTTTATATGAGTCAGCTATACCGAGTGATACGTTTTAAGATTCATCACTCAACAACGTCCTGTTTACCTTATACTTTAACGGGGCGGGGGTATCATAAGTGAGCAGTAGCTCACAGATTCACTTGTTTTATCTGAATACATAATCTATTAAGTTTGTATACAAATAAACACAACTAGCAATAAGTTTAATAAATATGATTTACTATCTATTAATATATATTAAAATTTATGCAAATACATTATATATATTTAATTCGCTGGCTGATTTCAGAAAAATCTATACGGACACTAAGTCTTATATAGTCATTAAAATTTTTAGACACCCGAATCATCTTCATTGGGTAAAGACTGCAGTCTGCAGGTTTTCATCAGAACACTATTTGTTGTTTCAGTATTAATACATCAATATACTAGAAGTTGATTGAATGTAGCTTGTTTAACGTACAATGGAATGAATATTCAAGACGAACAATTTTCTAGAGTTGACCAGTCATAACAAGACCAACCAAATAGGCATGTGGAAAAAATCGTTCGCAATCCATTTTTTTTTAAACACTGAAATTGTGACTATTTTACAACGTTTATTATTGTTGAATAAACGAATTCTAAAGCGGATAACTCTGATGAACATATAAAGAAATAATATTTCTTTGTTTTAGGGTACAGATTGTTTATACAGATCTTCAACCGCACATGGTTGGTAAAGGGAAATGAAGAAAACATATATTTATAATACAAACTACAAAATAAACAGATTATAATATGTATGACTTTAACCTTGATTGTCATGTTTTAAACTCTTACTTATACTAATTAACACTAACACGTGTAGAATATTATAATTTTGTTTTATCCAGAAAAAATTTTGTTAAACTTTCAATCAAAATAAACGAATTTGACTATTTTATATGTGATTGATTGATTGGCTATTGCCTTACGCCACGCCACGTCAGCGCGAAACGTATATATATAAGATTGCCACACAGCATCGTTCAAGCATGTGGAACAAAAACTTAAATCTCTGCAATTTATGAATAACAGCGTGTTCTTACTTACTTAATACTGTACTTTAATACTGTCATGGACGCCAATTGGCGTTAAGGACAGCAACGAAGATCTTTCACTTCAGTCTGTCGGTCGTTGGCAGTAATTTCTGTAGAGTGCCCCATATCTGTTGATGTTGACTTAGTTCTGTCTATTCGCCCTCATTTCATCTAGGTCTTACTTTATATTTTTTACCTTCTGTGGTCTAGTGAAATTTTGTCTTTTTGGTATCTCTCTCTTTTCGTAGGACATTGCCACAATCCATTCCAGCGTGTTTTGGTTATGATAGTGACAATATCCTCTTGTTGGCATATGGTGAGAAGGTTTTGGTTCGAGATTGTTTGTGTCAAAAGATTAGCAAAATCCCTCTCTGTCTATTGGTGTAAAGAAAGTGTGTTTTTGGTCGTGATCTGTCATCCTCCAACAATCTGATCCGTACAAAAGTACAGGCAAGATACAGCTGCTGTCAAGTTTGAGTTTGGGGTGGATGGTTATGTTGCCAAGATCGCCATACAGCTTGCAGGTTGTTAAAAGCTGGCCTTGCCTTAGATCGTCTTCTTTTGGTGTCAGATTCTGCCACATCATCGGTATTAACAGTGCTGCTTATAAGTAGATGTGAAAGTGTCAACACGTGTTGATGTTTTTTTTTCATTCAGTAAAACCGACATTAGTTTCAAAATGATTGAGCCTGAAGAATAATGAATATTTTTTAATTAACAACTGAAATGGTCAATCAAAGGGGGGGGGGAGGGGGTTAACCCATGTTCCTGTCGCACCTTTAAAGTCTAAACATGGGTGTAATACTAATATTATTTTACATTTTACAAAGCTGATACAGCATTCCTATCGTGGTAGGCAAATGCTATTTACTATGTTATTCAGTTTAGTTGTAAGATAAAACGTGTAGATATGTAGGAAATGGAGGATGGATTTAAATTTTGTATTGGAAAAAGTCTTAAGAAAAGTTAGAATTGATTATGCCAACATTCGTCTAAGTAACAACGAACCTTCCAAATGCTGCAATACCTGTCGACTTTGAAAGACAGTTTCCTAGTAGTAGCTATCTAGAATAACAATCAGTCCACAGAATGACCGTTTACTTAAACAAGGGAAAAAACCGGCACATAATTTGGAGATCATGCAGGGTCACAATGCTCTCGCATGATATCTACAGCAAGCCAGCGAAGGTATCTCAGATGGCAAGTCACAAAATTCGAGACATAGGCATGCGGCTCAAACTATTTTTATAAAGCTTTATATTTCAGCGGGGCGAAGATCTAGATGCATCATACCTTGTATACCAAGCATTATGTTACGAGGTTTCCGTCTGTCATATGCACAGTGACTTTGATCTCATTTTCATGGTTCAGCGACTGCTTAAATCAAAGTGATAGAAATCACTCATGGAAAGATTGGGAGAACAGTTTTGATAATTTCAATTCATATTTAGGTATGGCGTGGACAAAAAAAAAAGAACATCAAAGCGCTATTGCTGACAATTGCATTAACTGTAGGTCTTTAGAAGGATAAGCACTTTTTCAGTAGATAAAATGAGCTAAATGTGAATCAATGGTAGCGGGTCCTTTAATTTGCACAACAATTTTGTTTAAATTGCAATTTCATTTCTTAACAAAATAATGTTCCCTGTTACATGTTTCACCTTTTACGCTTTAGGGAGCTACCATTTGATTTTTATGGGGGAGGGCTAGGATGAAATTTGAAAAAAAGGCAGGACAGGAGTTTTGAGTAAAAAAAAAGGCAGGATGAGCAACTTGGCAAAAAAAAAAGGCAGGATGACAATTTATGTAAAAAAAGTCAGGACAACTAATGAAAAAAAAAGAAGGCAGGACCGAATAGAGTGAAAAATAAAAAGGCAGGACAGAGATTACAACTAAAAAAAAAAGCAGGACACAATTTTTCATCCTAGCCCCCCCCCCCCCCCCCCCCCATAAAAATCAAAATGTAGCTCCCTTATCTTAAGAAACAGAAGTTATTACCAATGAAGATTCTTTTAATACAGTTAATCAATTATCCTTGTAGGAAATGGGACCAACAGATAGACTTGAAGCTAAGATACTTTTTCATTGTCTCCAAAAATTAATCTTAAAAGGTTGTTTTGAGTGCATTTTGTAAGTTGAAAAATACTATTTTACTCCTCTAAGAATTGCTTATTGATTTTGAAAACAATTATCATGATTATATGACACTGAAGATTAAAAGTTGTAGCATGTATTCTAATTCAATTCATAATTTAATATTTTCCAGAAAGGGCATTGAAAATGTAGTTTATCAACACATACAAATTAAAAAACTTATTTTATTGAAAATTGCAAAAATACATTTCCTGTATTCAAATGATTAAAATTGTTAAAAGACATTTGATAGGGAATAAAAAAAATCAACTAAAAAAAATGTGGCTTGCTAGAAATTTTACTTACTGTTTCAAGCCAATCACCGATAAGTGTAACCTAAAGTTTGATTGATTACAGTTGACATGGTTTACTATTGCACATATTTATAAAGTAAATCATAGACCTTACTTGAATACCTTTTTTATATTTAGTTTTCATATTTTGTCTTTTCTTTAAAAAAAAGATCTTGTTAATCCTTAATCATTTATCTTTCAGACATAATTTACAGAATCACTTTATGTAGTCTAGATCAAAAGTAATAGGCACTGAATAAATCTATCATTTCTATATATATCAAGTACATTTTGTGTATTCAATGAGGTCAAGTATTTGTGTATTGGGAAATATAATGAATGTTTGTTTAATTATGTAAGACTGAGGTTGATAAGTAATTTGGTTAATATGATTGGCATTTAAGGAGGTGTGACATTGAAATTAAAGCCCAACCTTGTCTCCTAATGTTTGGTCAAATTGGAAATCATGGCAGTTGTCAGTCATACTGTTATTGTATCATTACTCTTTCTTAATCAAAATGACAAAAATAGTCTGCAAATTGACAAAACTTAAAGACATACATACTTGAATGTACTGCTCCAAAGATATAACCCTAATTTTTCACAGTTCATATGTACACAGACATAAGAAATATAAGGAACTATATTTCAGTGTGTATTCATTTTGTAGATTTAGTAGCTAACCTGTGCGACTTCTTGTTTTGGAGGAAGGTGCCTTAGAAAAGACTTGGAACAATAGTTCCAAACTTTCCAAAATAGTTTGTTTGTCATGTGAATTTCTCACTTCTCATGAGTTATAGGATATCTATGTTTGGTATATGTGATCCTAGAAGGGTCTTCATGTCACGATTGTGTGTCAGAAATGATTCACCTGACATAGAACTGATTTCGTGTATCATTGATAAAAGTAAAGATTTCGTGGTAAAGTCTGTATCTCAGATACTATAAGCAGTATTAGTATTACTGTAGGTTAACTATATTTGGTGTATGGAATGATTATAAAGAGTACATGTCCGTCTGACATTGTTCATCTGACCTTGACCTCATTTACATGGATCATTGTTCAATATACTCGAAGTATTACCTTTTTCTTAAAGACTTTCAACATAAATTCAATCATGATCAGTAAAGCAAGGGGTTCTCATGGCTCTGTTTAACCCGTCAGGTCTTCAAGCACATGCCCTGTAAAAATATGATAAGACATATTCTTGGGATTTTATCTAAAAAAAACAAAATTTTGAATAACTGTATTTTATATTTTTTATTCAATTTTTAGTATTAAACATTGACCTTGAATTTTGACTCATTGATCCCAAAATCCCATTCCCAGTAACCTCAATCTATACAAATGTTATTTCAACCAACTTGGGGAAACTTAAGTTGCTATCAATAAACCATTTAAAAAAATCTATTAATAGTAAGCGACCTTGAACTTTGGCATATTGACTCCCCAAAGATAGGCTTTTCACTTTCTCTTTATCTTACATTTATATAAGTTTCATTCCAACTAACCAAGGGAAACTTGAGTTGCAATTCTGAAACCATGTTGCCAAAAAAAAACAACAACAATGTATGTAATAAGTTACCTCAAACTTTGATCTACTGAACCAATATAATTCTTCCTCTTCTTAATATCTTAATCAAAGAGCTGAAAGCTCTGAGGAAAAATGACGCAAGTGTCTCTAACAGTCCAGGCGATTATTGTTATTCGTAATATTCTTCAAACTTGTAATATTACGACAAATAGTAATATTACAGCTTTGTGTAATATAAGGCCTATATTACTCAATGGCGTAATAATCAATATTACGAATATCTGTAATATAGTTTTTCTATCTTACGAATATTTGTAATATACGATTAAATGGCTGTTTCATAAATTTCGACGTGTCTTATCATGACACCAAGTAGTCTTTCTAAAAGAAATACACACGGTAATCATTTTTACATATGCAGAAAATTTTGTTTCAAAGCCGAAACAAAATGTTTACAAAATTAATGACTTTCTTACGCAATGTCCTAACTAACAACTGAAGTTTGAACAAACTGTTTATATCTCTAATCTTAAAACTAATTTTCTGTGAAAGAATAACATTTTCTCTTGCCAGAAACGTTTTCTGTGTTGTGCTTTAAATGCTAGTATTGCGTCGAAAAATCTTTAAAGAAACATGTGTATCGATTCCCAAACCATATTTCAATGGAGACAACTCTTGGTCGCTTAGAAGTGGTTGAATAATAAAAATCGTTGTCTCCCTTAAAATTGATCTAACGCACTTGAAATTTCACTGTTAAACAGTAGCTGAAAAAATTAGGACAAATCTGATAAACTGAATTGATTTCAAGTTATTTTTGGAATATTAAAACAATATTACATATCACAGAAATATAAAGAGATGTGCATGACATCTTGCACACACGACGAAGGGAATCATGTCCTA